TATAATATATATATATATATATATATATATACACAATAAACCAAAGTATTGGGAAAACCAACACAAAGCCTGCCAAGTGACTAAAGAAAATAAAAATTAAAACAACAATAAATCAAAAACAATGAAAAAGAAACAGACTTGGAAGAAAAAAAATATCAGGCATCTACCTGAAAAGTAAAAAAAAAATCTGCTCTGTATCTAAATGAGTAAAACAGTAATGAATAAAGAGAGAAAGTTCAGACAACTACTCGAGTTTCACACTAGTGCAATCATCTGGTCACCTCACACTGGTGGGATTGTATAACTCGGTAGCGGTCTGAACTTTCTCTTTTTGTGTATTATATATATTCATTCTGGTAGTTCCCTGCAACTAACAAGCAGGATTTATTTTTCTCCTGATGATGGCCATGTTAGCTGAAATTAGTCAAGTAACCTAATTGAAATAATAAAACAAAAAATATTAATATACAACCCAATGTGTGTCTGAAAATTTTAATTTTCTAATTTTTCAATATTTTTATTGTTCAAAACAACACACACACACACACACACACACACACACACACACACACACACACATATATATATATATATATATATATATATATATTGCTTGAACTAAAATAGCAAAATATAAACTTTGGACAGTTTATCTACAAATTTGAATCACAATGCTTTACACCTTATCTTTAAATAGGAAAAATACAATAAAAAAGTGACATGTGGGTTCTTTTAAAACACACTTGTTTGGATGAATATTTGCTGCCTAAAATATATATATATATATATATAAAATACTACTAAAAGGCAATGAATGTATATATATATATATATATATATATATATATATATATATATATATATACCACTAAAGGCAATAAGTGTATATATATATATATATATATATATATATATATAACAGCACTAAAGGCAATGAGTCTGTATATATATATATATATATATATATTATTTTTTTATACATCCAATTTATTTAAATAAATGCTCTGTTTTTCATCAAGCAGTATTAATTACATTTATCAGCCTGAATGTTTGAGGAATTTCATAGAAAACATTGCTAAAAAGTATAGCACCTCTGATCAAATGACTGTTCCCATATAGGAATACAGGTTCGATTCCTATCAGATAACAAAATTTTCTATGAAATTTTCTTGAACATTCAAGCCTGTAAATGTAATTATTGCTGTTTAATTAAAATCAGTGCATTTACTTTTAAGTAAATGCACTGATTCTAATTAAACAGCAATAATTACATATATAAAATATAAAAATAATATACAAACAGAAAATATATTAAATAATTATCAGATTTAATACATTTCATTATATCTTTATATATATATATATATATATATATATATATATATATATATGTGTGTGTGTGTGTGTGTGTCTGTATATATATATATATATATGTGTGTGTGTGTGTGTGTGTGTATATATATGCATGAGCAGATAATGTAACAGTTATTGCTGTAACTGTGGAAAGGGAAATTGTTGAAATGAGTTTGAGTACTGGTCAGTTCTGTTACAGTCACTTTGAAAAGGCATGAAACTCTCTCTCCCTGTCTATGGGTTAAATAGAGCAGAGAAGGTTTTTTACCTTAGTTGTCAGTCAAAGAGAAGGGAAGCTCTGAATTCAAACCTGTAAAGTGTTGTTTGGGAACTTCATCGTACACTCTGTACCATTTCTCTTTTATTAGTTCTTTCAAAAAGTGTTCCTGGATCTATACGTGCCTTCACAAATATTGATTATAGTGGTGAAGGCTTGTGTAGAACCAAACACACTTTTCCCCAAAAAAAAAAATCTATGTAGTCTAGCAGACCAGATCTTTATGGAATTGTTGGGCTCTCATACATCAAAAATAATTGGAGAGAACACCACACTCACACACACACACAGCGGCAAGTGTGAGCTTATGGGATGTGGGGAAGAGGAAAACTGATTTTTAAAAACATTTTGTTTATGGCTATAAATAATCTAAAAATATCCTAAACAAACAAAGAAAAAACCCTCTTTCCCCATATGTATGGAGAGCCTAAGATGGCAGTAACAATATAGTATTTATTTCTACATTCATAATATCTATACTATTTACATTATTCAGACTATCGTCCTCATCTTTGTTGCCATATTGATCACAATATTTTGGTCGTTGTATGCTCTAGCCTTCTTCAGGTAGTTGGAATGTCGAACTGAACTCTTTATTTCGCTCACTGGGGTAGACTGTTCTAGTTCCACGTGCCATGTCTAATAGATGTCAGTTATCAGTTATCTCCTGTTAATTCAACTCTCCAAGTTCTCCACTGCCTTAACCAGGTATTGAACTCACAACTCTTTGGGTCCTGTCACTGGATCTAACCAACACCTTTATCCACTGTGCCGTGTGTCTTATACATAGGGCATTTTGATGTAGTGTAAGGTTTAGAAAGCTTGTCTCACTAGATCAATTATGACTGAATAGTGAGTCTGTTCCACACTAAGTGCTCTACATTTTCAACCATGTGCCACATCTAAGCTACACTTAGAAAATCATTTTGGACCCCTCAACATGGTGTAATGGTTAGAAAGCTTGTCTCACTAAATCAATTACAACTGAATAGTGAGTCTGATTTTCATTGGGGGCCCATACTTATGGCCTTGTGTCACATCTAAGCTACACTTACAAAATCACCATAATATCTATACATGTGTGTGTGTGTTCATATTGTCCTAATATATATATATATATATATATATATATATATATATATATATGCATGTACACTTAAGTATGTATATACAATTTTATGTACGGCCAAGCACAATGAAATCTATACATATTTTGTTCCTTTGTTCAGTACATTTGATACATTATTTTTCAATTTTCTATAGCCACTCCAAAAATGTTCAAAGGTTTGAAATACTGATTTTAGGAAGTCAATTGACCCCCTAAAAAATTTTCAATATCCTTTCACATATATACATAACTAAATATTGATTCATATGTATTGGGTTAGCCAAAAAGTTTGATTTGATTGATTCATTTTCTACAGCTTATCACCCCTTCACATGTTATTCAAAGCCATCGACTATTTTTTGATTTTAAGAACTTTTTTTTTAAGGTAATAATGGTTTAGTGATACGAGACTTAGTAACCCATAGCTGAGGGAAGAACAGATGGATTCATACCTTGGTACTTGCAGGTAAGTGAATTACACCAACTGCATATCCAAGTTTGCAGCACCTGACATTTCAAATGGTCATTCATCAAGGTACTGACAAGGTTCAACATTGCTTAACTTTCAACATGATATGGCTTTAAGCCCAAAATATTTGTTTCTGCTTAGTAAGTCAATGGACTTTTTGGCCACAATATTTACATGCAAAAAATAAATACATAGATGCTTGATTTAATTGGTGAATACCATTTTTTTTCACTAGAGCTTACCGAGTACATATACCACACAGGGAGAGGAGCCACACAAGCTAGAGGATTACCGAATGACAGATGTGATATGAATGTAAGTGGAAAGATAGATAACAACTGACCCTTGACTTGTGTTGTGGTAGGATCCACCTAATTTGCATAGTGGAGTACCGACCATATAAATATGGTTGGTACCGGGAAGAGAGGGAGGAATCAAGAGATTCAACCAGAGACTCTGCCCGACTGTGACTCAGTCAACACATTCTCCAGGAACGGTCTTACCAGGAATATACAAAAGCATCTACAGGGAAATCTGTTCTCCAAAGGAAAAAGCTGTTTGAATTGGAACTTCCTCACTTGAAATGGAATATAGAGGAAATGAGGCTGATTCAACTCCATGGAAATAGCCTGTGATGTCCTAGAAGTAAAGAAGAAACTGGGGGAAATTAAAATATAACTCATCTGAACATTTCCCATAGAGTAGACATAAGCTTGCGATGTTTCCTCCAAGTCTGATCACAGTCCTTGAGAACAAGCAAAGAAACATTTGTTTCTCAAAATGTACAAAACTGGTTCTAAACTTTTGCCATGGAAATAGTAATAGAGTAGTGATAAGCTTGCAGGTTGGAGTTTGTGAGGAAAGAAGTTGTAGAATGGAAAACAGTAATCCTTCACATAGCACATAAATAGGTTTGAATTCTCTCAAAACTGGAAAGTGATGATTGAGCAACTCCTGCTCAGATATGGCAGTAAAATGCTACTTTGGGTCTCATCTGATTCTTGTTAAAATAAAACATGGAAGAATGTGTCAGGCACTTCCTGGAGCAGCAATATCAGCAATATCTAAAGCATGGATGAACGGTAGACTTATAGATATGGAAGATAGATTCTGGAGAGAAATATTGATTTGTACAACACTGTGAACGAACTTTCTTAGCAGCTGACCTAGAAATACAGTCTTACCACTTCATGTCAGCCAAGAAAGTACAAATACTTTGTTTTTGGTCTAACCTAACTCTGGTAAAGATAAATTCTTACTGGTGCTGAAATAATTATACATGAAAAATGCAACCTCCATACTGGTGTATGTTAATGTTGCATGTTGTAATAAAGATTTCCCTGAGGGCAAAATCTCTGTCAACAATTGAATCGTTCTATTCCAGTCACATCATCCACATCACAAAAGTATGGCACTGAGAATTTTTTTGCAAGTTAATTTCTTGGCATGCTTGCAAGCGTGCTGTAGAATTCTTAAAACCATTTCTATTATTTAAGGGAATGCCCAAGAAAGAAAAAAATAATTCAGCAGTCATTTCTAAAGTCTCCATAGAAGGAATTCTTAAATAAATTCCAAGATCTTACAATCGACCAAAAACAATCCAAGAGAGAATTTTGTTTTTAGTTTTTAAGTCTTAGAACATCATGAAATTTATTTTTCCTCAAAACTTCCCTCAATAATTTCATGTATTTCTTTTACAAAGTTTTCTCACAAAAAATGTGAAAAATTTTATTAAGTGTTGCTCATAAATATCTGATGTAGAAAGAGGTTGTAGAATGGAAAACAGTAATCCTTCACATGGCACATAATTGACCACAGCAGACAGATAGATAGATAGGCCACAGCAGACAGAGAGGAAGACAGACAGATAGACCACAGCAGACAGAGAGGAAGACAGATAGATAGACCACAGCAGACAGAGAGGAAGACAGACAGATAGACCACAGCAGACAGAGAGGAAGACAAATAGATAGACCACAGCAGACAGAGAGGAAGACAAATAGATAGACCACAGCAGACAGAGAGAACTGATGAGATGATGATAGACCACAGAGAGAGAGAGATTTCCTAGGGATTTACCACAGGTGGTCATAAAGAGGAAGACAGATTTTACCACAGATGGCACAGAGAGGAAGACAAATAGATAGACCACAGCAGAGAGAGAGGAAGAGAAGAGATAGACCACTAGGAATGGACAGAGAGGAAGACAAATATGATTTGACCATAGCAGAAGGAGAGGAAGACAGGCCACAAAGAATGATAGACATTTGACAAAGACCTGGAATAGAGAGAGAAAGAATTTAGATTGTACAAAAACAGTTGTCCTTCTTTTATGGCACATAATAGAGTGTTGAATTTACCCCAGAGAGGAAGAGAGAGAAGAGAGAGAGACCACAGAGAGAATGATGAGTTTGATGGGTGATTATTATATAGAGTTTTAATGGATTTGACTAATTTAGCCTGGCACAATATATACATCAGACTATATATATATATATATATATATATATGGATATATAGTCCTGAGAGGTATTTGTCGCATATTTATATTTAACAACATAATTGTGTTGATTGCACAGCCAGACAACAGACATAAATAGTTGATTAGAGAGAG